CAACATTTAAACCCATTGATCCCAAAGTGTATATCGACCCCTAGGGGTCTATGACAACCTGCAAGGGGTCTATGTCAGCGAAAAAAAAATTTGGGGGTCCATGAAATGAATATGGGGGTCCACGATAGTGGATGTCAACACATACACTGATAGTACCTATTTACTTACATCATACTATCTTATAATATCAAAACATATACATTATTTATAAAAGTACCTATGAAGTAAAAAATTTGTTATATATGTTTATAAAATTGTGTAAGTTGGTATTCGCTTTGTGGTCGCAATACATTTGGAACTTGTAAAAACCTGAGAGTCGCAGTCTCAGAGCTTCGCTACCTTGCACTGACTTGTTCAATTCGTCTCTCTATAAATACGAATGTGGGAACAAATACGTTATTCGTTCCTGAATCTTAAAAGGAAAGTGCTAAGAAATATTTAAAAAATATAAACAGATAGTATATCACACAAGTTATAGTGTGTCAGTGTTATTTTGTTTGAGAGTGCTGGAGAAAAAGTGAGTACATTATTTTTTTATTAAATTTTAGTTTTGTACTCGTAGTTAGCAAAGATAGATAAATTACGTCAATCATGACTTTAGTTATTAGTAGTTAAATATTCAATCATGCAAAATTACACGAGTACTCCTCAATAGTTTCTTTTGGAAAGTTTTAGCAATCGGTAATATAATTACAGTGCAATCTCCGTAATTCGAGCTAATTGTTGCAAGAAGATGTTCGAATTATGGAATGTTTTCGGAAAAATCAAAAAATATTTTTAATATACAGCTGCTGGATTTTCTGTCTTATTTAAATAATTTAATTTTGCCCACAGATGACTGATGCTATGTCCGAATCTAAAAAGAAATGTAGACAGTACAGTGTTGATTATTTGAAATTTGGCTTCATTCCATCATTGCCGGACAAACAATCGCCTATGTGCCTTTTATGCAACAAAGTTTTGGGCAATGACGCTATGAAACCATCTAAACTGCAAGATCATCTGAGAAGATGCCACCCTGATAAAACAGAGAAAGAGTTGAAATACTTCAAACACTCAAAGAAGAGACCTACACTGGACAGAATGTTCGCTTCGACGTCACAAAGAAATGATGATGGTTTGCGGGCGTCTTACAATATCTCGTTACTTATAGCAAAATTCGGAAAACCGCATACTATCGGAGAGAAGTTAATTTTGCCAGCCGTTGAAGAGGTTTTAAAAACTGTTTTACACAAACCTGCATCTGATATCATTAAAAGAATTCCCTTAAGCAACAATACTGTTGAAAGACGTATTGATGAAATGAGTTCTGATATTGAAAGCTTCTTATGTAATTATCTGCAAACGACCCATTTCTCTATACAACTGGACGAGTCAACTTTACCTGATAATGCAGCATTATTATTGGCATATGTTCGTTTTATTATGAATCAAGAAATCTACGAAGAACTGCTCTTCGCAAGAACTTTGATAACCGACACTAAAGGTGAATCAATGTTTCATGTTTTGAAGGATTACTTCATTGAAAAAGCAATTCCTTTATCAAATATAATATCAGTAGCTACAGATGGAGCACCTGCCATGGTTGGACGTTATCGTGGATTTATAAGCTATTTAAAACAAAATGTGTCAGGGGTGTTAGCAATACATTGCGTCATCCATCGACAAACATTTAGTTGCTAAACATTTGAGTGTTAGATTGCATGAATCACTTCATTTAGTCATTGATGCAGTAAACCGAATCCGAAGCAACGCGTTGAATACGCGGTTATTTGCGCAGTTGTGTGAAGAAAATGACGAACACTTTCATCAATTACTCCTTCACACTGACGTACGCTGGCTGTCGAAAGGCTTATGTTTGACAAGATGTTTTTCACTTTTGAGACTATTTTAGAATTTCTGGATACTAAAGATAAAATTTAATGAAGAGGAAAACAGACATCGCCTATGTAACAGATTTGTTTACAAAATTTAATATGGTTAATTTGCAATTACAAGGCGACAGTTTAAATTTGATTAAAACAAAGTCCATCTTATCAGCGTTTCTTGCCAGAGTTAAACTAATGGAGCAAAATATTGGACTGGGCGAATTTTCTCAGTTCCCCAATTTGTCACAGACAAGCTGCCAGGAAGACGACGTTTCAACTTACGTTCAACATTTAAATGCCCTCTATTCAGATTTTGAATCTAGGTTTGAGGATATTTTGACTATGGTAATACCACCGTGGATAATTAATCCATATGGTGACATAGAAGAAACGAATGTCATAATACAAGAGGAACTGACTGAACTAAGTACAAACGAAGAACTTAAGGTTCAGTTTAAAAACGGATATCAGCAATTCTGGCTGCAAAACAACATACCCGTTACTTATCCCGTATTATGGAATATAGCGAGGAAATTTTTAATTTCCTTTCCATCGTCATATCTAGTGGAAAGGGGGTTTAGCGCTGTTACCAATCTCCTAACAAAAAAAGAAACAGACTGGACATCATTAGCCTTACAAAATTGACGCCAAATGTTGATAATTTATTATTAAAGCACCAGGTTCATCCTTCTGACTAAAATATTGAATTATTGCTTATGTTATTTTATTTATAGTTTATTTTATGTTTATTGGTGTCTGACCAATAAATGCCCGCATTGGGAATAAGTGCCCGCATTGATTTTTTTAAAGAACCCCCCTTTATAGAAAATATTTTTTTTTAAATTATTCTGAAAATTCAAGGATAGGTACACACTAAAATTCGTTAATTTTTTGCCTATTTTTAGATAACTTAAACGTATAAGAAGCGGAATTTGATCAAACTAACAGTGAAATTATTGTAGAACATACGTTTATGTTATAATTAATAAACGAACTCGCTTATTGTACTATTTTAAGTAAAAAACTTTTTTTTTATTATTTTTCACTTTTTTTTTATTTTATCCCTCTTATTTTTTTTCAGTGCGGGCACTACAGTTAGAAATTTACAGGAAATCAATATCAGGTAAGTAGGGGGTCTACCCAACACGGAAAAACATGGCAAGGGGTCTACGACACAAAAAAGTTTGAGGAACTCTGAACCATACAATAAAATATTTTTTAAATGTAGTGAAACAGTCTCTTTGTACATTTTTGAAATCCGAGATAAGAGGGAATGTGGAGCGCCTGTCTCTACCATACACTACAAATTAGATGTACAGTGAAAGAAGAAAGCTAAAGAAAAAAAATCTGATCACGTAAGGACATACACTTGGGAAGTAAAATGATGATTTGAGTTACGTAAACTCTGGGCGCTGAAGAAAGACATTAAACGTAAACAGTGATCAGCACGTGAACAGATCCCTCGAAAGCATCCACGGATATACTCCAGTCACTTTAGGTCTAAACATCCTCGGCAGTGTATTTCTAGTGAATCCACAGACCCTTTTCGTGTCATCTTGAGACTAGAAAAAGGATGACTGTTAAAATAAGTTACCTTGATCTTTCATGAGCTCCCAGTACAAAACATCATCGATATATTTTTGATGTAGGAACAACAAATTGGTTTAGAAAATCCACTTTGAACCTAAATTGACTGGAGTAACATCGATCTACAGACAAATTCAAGGTCACTAGCAGTCGTCGGCGCTCTACGAATCTGCACAGGTTTGGACTTGTAAACGTGATTGTAGATGACACGACAGGCATCTAACAGTTAATTCACGCACAGGATTGCATTGCATACGCATTACGCATTCAGTAGCGTATACTCGTTTTTCGCGAGTGGAACGTTTTGTTTATATATTGCCTAAGATACGATGTCTGACACAGATACAGCCGACGAAGTGGTTGACATCAGCGCAACCCCACCCAAAAAAAGGGCTAAGAAGCTACATTTAAGTGCAAATGAAAAACAAATAATATTAAATATATACAAAAACCAAATTCAAGAAAAACCCGATTTGGTCGTGGACGAAGTTATATGTAAGGTAGCACATATTTCTGGAGTATGTCGGTCCAGTGTTTATAGGATCATTAAGGAATATAGGAGCACTCACTCACTTTCTGAGCCAAAACCGTATCCTGCAAGAAAAAGGATAACGGACGGAGTAGATGACTTTGACAGAACTGCCATCAGGAGGAAAGTGCATCATTTTTTCTTCCGAAATGAGATACCTACAGTAGATAAGATATTAAGATTAGTTAATGCTGATGAGGATCTTCCATCATTTAAAAGAACCACATTCCGAAAACTTTTGAAGGAACTTAATTTTCGATTCTTGAAACGGGGAAGAAACAGTATGTTAATAGAGAAAGAAGAAATTGTTGTGTGGAGAAGGGAATACCTTAGGAAGATTCGGAAGTTTCGCGATGAAAAAAGAAAAATTTACTATTTGGACGAAACGTGGGTGAATGCTGGACATACTCAAGCGAAAGATTGGGTCGACAAATCAGTAACATCATCATGGCAGGCTTTTCTAGACGGTCTTTCGGCTGGATTGAAAAATCCTGCAGGTAAGCTCCTTCATCTATCCGGCAATTTAATTTTGATAAATTCGGGCAAATAATATGCTGTGATAGCAGATAATGTGTGATATTCTCCAAAAATGGTGCATTCGCAGTGTAGTCATTAGGAAAAAAACTTCGACCCTTTTTTAAGCGTTATTTTGAAATTTATTATCATTTTTGGGTGCAGTCAATTTGCTTTGAATGGGTTTTGAGAAGTTGCAAACTTCAATTTTCTACGTTTTTCAGTTTTTGATCAGCATTCCGTGACTCTTAAATTCAGCTAAATGAACTCAATTGCTTCATTCCTTCAAATTTAATCAATCCATAGTGTAAGGAATAATTTATTTCCAGGAAAAGGCAAACGGCTGATCATTTGTCACGTAGGTAGTGAAGACGGCTTTGTTCCCGAAGCACTGTGGGCCTTTGAATCAAAAAAGACAGGGGACTATCATGAGGAGATGGACGGCAATTCCTTTGAAAATTGGTTCTCCAAAATGTTACTAAAGCTGGAGAATAACGCTGTTATTGTACTGGATAATGCCCCGTACCATTCTAGAAAAATAGAAAAAATTCCCACAATGGCAACTAAAAAAGCAAACATACAACAATGGCTGGCCTCAAAACAGATCGATTTTGATGAAACAATGGTCAAGGGTGAATTGATAAGTATAGTCAATAGACATAAATACAAATACGATTTTAAAATGATCGACGAAATGGCCAAAAAACAAAATAAAACTGTCTTGAGACTGCCACCCTACCATTGTGAGCTGAACCCTATTGAGCTGATTTGGGCCAACATAAAGCAATACGTGGCGTCGAATAATAATACTTATAAATTTTCTGATGTTAAAAATCTCTTTCAAATCGCAGTCAATAGAGTTACGGCAGAGGAATGGAAAAACTGTATCCGCCACGTTCGGGGGAAGGATGAGGTCAAAATGTGGGATTTGGACAATGTCATCGATACCCAAATTGAACCTCTAATAATTCATTTAAACGATTCAGAAGATTCAAGTTCCTCTTCTGAATGAGTGCGCGCAGCTTACTTACTAATAACTAAAAAGTGTAGTTAACTCATTTGTGAATCTCTAACTGAAATTTACTGTAAAAGATAATAATTATCTTGTATGAAATTTTTGATGACTACCCATAATATCTTGATGCGGTCCTGTAATGTCTCCTGCGCCTAAACACTCACTCACGAGCAATATGCGTGTATTTGTTTGGGTTTAGTTTCTTTCTTCAGCGCCTAGAGTATAGTATATACTCACCAGCGGGACACGAAGGCAGTTCGTTCTTGGGCATATTGGTGACTCTTTGGAAATCGTCGTGACAAGCGTTGCAAAAGTGCGTGGTGCCGAAGCAGAAGAAGACGGCCACCGAGCAGCAGTACCGGCATTTGTATTCCAGGAAGTCGGTACCGTGTTTGGGGCACATCTGCGCGCGGGCTACGTCTGAACAGGCGCCGCATACTAACTCGCGCGGGTCGTACTGTTCTCCGAGTTCCGCGTCGCAACGCGCCTCTCCGCCATAATACGCCTAAAAAATATAATAATAGCGTTTATTTGCAGAGCAAAAAATACAAAAATAAAAATAAAAAACAACGCCAATTCCATGTAAAAGGGACTAGTGAACACACAAGCTGATCTAAGTACTAGCCCAACAAACAAAATAACAATACACCAAGAAGACATTAATCATCTAATAAAATCAATGAAGCGACGACTTTACGAATGTGTAGCGAACAGAGGAGCTTCAATACATTAATATCTCAGCTATTTGCAAAATTTCGAGTTAAAATTTTAATCACTTTCTATTTAGCGGTAGACCTAAAACTTGTAAAAGTATGCTCAAAATTACAGCACTCCTAGTCGGTGTTGAATTTTCTATGTCATTTAGTATATTAGTTCAAATAATTGACATCCCAATTGGGGTGTATAAAGAGCGGTGAATTCCAAATGTTTAAAACATTTGAACAATATATCTGGCTTTCTTTGTTGTTGTTGTTGAAGGTTTATTTAGCATTAATGCTACAATATCAATTTTGTATAATGATTCGGTTACATATTTTTATAGATCCATTTTCTGTAATTTTACATTCTTATCTATTAAAATTAAAATTACATCACTTATGTATTTTGATTATTCATAAAGTGATTTTTTAATTTCACCTTAAACATTTTTAAATTCGAACTTTGTTTAATATCATCATTCAATTTATTAAATTGAAATACTTTTGAAATATAGATTTACTAGTTATGCTACTATTACAATTTTGCAGATGAAAATCTATACTGCCTCTAGTTCGTAGTTATGATAATTTTGTGAAGTCCTCGAAATGATTTTTTAATTTGAATATGAAAACGAGAACTAAATAATATATGAAATTTTTCACATCCAACCACTGCAGTTCTTCTAACATAGACTTAATCCTAGCATATTTGTTTTTATTTAAAATGATTCTCATAGCCTCATTTTGTAGAATTTGTAATTTTGAAAATATGTTTTCATTTGTTGTAAACAAGATGGTTGAACAATATAAAAAATGGGGAAGAATTATAGTGTTATACACAATTCTTTTGGAATACATGCTAAGATTATGGGAAACTCTATATAAGTAATTCATCTTTTTATTATAAACAAACCATAGGCGTAGTGAAGAAACGCATTTACTTATTAAGTAAATTCTTTTAGTCAAATTTCTTCTGAAAGAGTACACACTAATCTGATGTACCTATTAAAGTCTACTTTAAGCTTTAAATCAATAAATCTTCAAAACTACTGAACTGAAACTCATGTATTTTACATCATTATAAAGGAAATTGAAAGACCTTTAAAATAAGGTATCACTGGACCATTTAAGATTTTAGGGTTGATGTCACCCCCGCCCAGGGGGCCGCACGTGTTAACGTGATTTTTTGCCAAACTTGTGTCCCCCTCGAAAACAAAATCGACGGGTCTGAGCGTTTTCCCAAGAAAAAAACTGAGCTGCCAGTAAATGCGTCTGTTTCGTTTTCGATGCGCCACCCTGTATA